TTATATAATGTAAATGCGATATACATATACATATATATGTATGGTTTATGAACGCAAATAATTTAATAATATTTCGTTTCTTACGTAATGTTTTGAACGAAGAAAGTTAATACAATTACAAATTAATAAAATAAATTAACGTAATATAATTTTTTAAATATATCTAATACTGTAACACACATACGAAAGCAAAACAAATGTTTGTGAACTATCGACTAATAAATAATAATAACGATATTAAAAACGATTTAATTACAGGTTTTTTTCGATTAAAAACCCTTAATTAATTAAAAGCTTTAATTGAGCATATATAACAATATTATTTATGTAACATATCTCATCATCGAGTAATTCATCTCTCATATCCATTTCTGATCCGAGAGAAGCCAATTCTTTTATTTTCTAATTCGACGATTGAGTGAATTCCAGCTGTTCGTGTAGTCGATCTTCAGATGACCGTATGTGTTTAAATGTCCAATATGAGGTGGGCAGATCGCTTCCGCTATATATCTGTCTTTATCTGTGTGAATTGCATATGGCAAGCATCTTTCTTCTTGCGGGGGATATCTAGAAATTTCTTGAACAAATAAATTTTACATGAATCAATAGAGAAAGAGACAAGAAAAAGGAAGAAAAAGAGAGAAAGAGAGTCCATATACAATTCAAAATTAGTGATTATATTTCAATATATGTATATCTTTTTTTATCTTTATCTTTTCAAATTAATCCAAATATAAAACTATACACAGTCAATAAATTCCTCCAAAATAAATGTTAAAAATCACGTTTTGTTATTGTTTCATAAATTATTACATGTTGTATCATTCGTACTGTGCAGAAAAATTCATGTTGAATATAAATCGGAAAAAAATGAAAGATGCCATGGATATATTTTTACATTCTCTTTTCTTAAAAAAAAATCAAACTTCGCACTTCACAAAAGCCTCGATCATTACAATATTCACCAAAAACAATTGATGTGCGCGCGTGAACGCTGCAAAATTCGCGCACGATTTAATATCTAGGAGAGAAAGTCTACACGATGAAAATTACAATTACACGGTGAAGATCGATTCGTACATTGATGTACGGATTCGCGCCCGAACGCATCGCAACAGGAGATTCTTGCGACATCGTGTCGCACCATAAGACATTATAATGTAACGACAGCACGTATAAAAACTTTCTAACGCGTTACGAACCATAGAAATCGTTCGATTTCTCGAGGTGCATTTCGAATGGAAAACTATGGAAACTGTCTGACCGTTCTGTTCTTTTTTTTTTTCTCCAGTAGAGCGTAAAATCTGCAGAATCGAACTCGCGCTAGTTTCCAGTGGCATACAATCACATTAGAGACTATATATTCAACAATTTTATAGTATCTGTGAAAATATTAATATACACATGTTCATTACAATTTAACTCTAACTCCAGTTTGAAATTTCCATAAAAAGTATCGGGTCATTAGAGTAATATCTAACAATAAGATTTTCATGTTGTAACGAGAAATTGTAATTTGAAACACGTTTTGAAGTCTACAATTGAAACATTAAATTTGAAGATTTACTAAATTTTTCGAACAAAAAACTAAAAAGTTGATAAATAAATGACATATTGTTATGGAGAATATATAATTTATTTTTTATTACAAGTAGGAATTTAGATATTTTTTGATTATTCAAAATTATGTAACAATTTTATATTCAGTATTATATTCTAAAAAACGATATTATTTATCGAATAAATCGATACTTGCTGTTTTGAAAAAATACAGTAAAAAAAATTAAACAAACATATTTTAATATACAAATAACTAAAAGATATTTGTCAAAATGTCAAAAATCGCATATTAAAATATGAAATAATTTTCAGATGACTCTGAGCTAGTATAGACGAACCTTACCGAATAATCCAGGCGTGTAAACCGGAAACGGTGCAGTATAATCCATTCCCTCGTCCTCATAGATAGCTTGCTGATAATAGAAGCCATTGTTTGTTGGCTTAATTGGTCTACGGTACAGTTCCTGCGCGTATGGGGAACCATCGTATTCCGATTCTCTCAATGAGGGTAAGGCATACCTGGAAAATTCGTTAAAAAACCAATTGATTAGCAACGAAAGACTAAAAGAACGAGAATAAACACTAAATTTCACTATGAAAATTTGATATCATGATTGTAAAATTAAAGGTATCAATTTTTAACAATTTGTAAAAATTGATTTATATAACTACCTCAAGAGTTTCAGAGTAATATTTTCAAGTTCCTAAAACAATTTATATCAAACCTTTTTGTTTTTGTTTCAAATTCTCTTAATTTCTTAAGTTATTATTACATACACAATTTATATCTAATATTAATTGTTATATAATTGATTATTATTATTATTATATAGATGACATTAATATAAATTAATAATAGATTAATAATTTCAAGTGTGTATTATATAAATATTAAGATCTGAATCTACATTGTTAAAGAAAAGAGAGGCGCTGTAATTCTACATAGATTTCTGATATGAAAAAATTTCTTTTCTGTGAATTATATCTTGCAAGATATATAGAGTGAGAAAAAGAACTTATACGTTTGATATAATAGCCTAATGTGTAGTTGCAGACCCTTAATTTTACATGTCGGAGTTTCTCTCATGTATTACCAGTATTCCGAGAATGCTCGCGTATCGCGGGAAGAACGCTCGTTTGTAGGAGGACGTCGCGTTCGGCGCGGCACGTCGGCGACGCTATGACGACGTAGGTAAGCGTAATTTTCCAGGTCCCACGGGTCCACGTAATGACGACTGCCAGCGTCGCTTCCGGAACTGCCGGAGGTCGATTTTCGGGAGTCGACCGAACTCCAATAGATCGATGATTCCGCTGGCATTCTCTGTTTATTTTTCTCGCTCTACCTCGGGAACGTGATAAAGTTTTTTTGGAGAGAAAAATATTGTTAAATTCTTTTCGCGAATAGCATTTTTATATTGGGTTTTCTTATGTAATATATTTAATCCATATATATATTAATCTAATGACAATATTATTAAATTAATCGTCACGAGCATTGTATTTACTTTTAACGTCACAATTATTAATTAATGTCTAATCAAAATCACTGTTTTTTCATTCATAACGATTATACCATACATATTTATTTAGAATCGATTTTCTGCAATTTTCTTTTCTATTCTTCCATGTATCTGTTTATGAAAGATTATCTTACCTGGATAATTGGAAATCTTCTTTTTGCCCAAGTTTTTCCACGTGAAATCTTTAAATGGATATGTTGAAATTATTTATTACACTTAACAAATATTTAATGAAGTTAATTCATATTAATTCGACACTAATTGATCTCATATTTAACAAGTCCTTTTCGTTTTCTCACTTTTCTAATTGTAAAAAATTTTTCACTTTTTTCCACGTTTTCTTCAAAATAATTATATGTTATTCATATAAACACGAATATTTTATTTGTGTGTTACTTATATCTTTCATTATTACTAAACTCTTGTATGTTATATATAATATATGATCTCGATTAGATATTTACAGCTTTTTCGTAATACGTCGATTCAAGTCTTTCTTCCTTGGTCCTTGTGCAAGAGTTGCGTACGCTGCGAGTGCAGTTTTGTTTCTGCGGCCGCAAAAGCAGAAACATTTCCCGCTGCGCTCTTCTTGGTGAAACCTCGCGTACACTTTCACGCCCGCATGCGAATCTCGAGGCCCAATCATCGTATTCTGAATTCTGAATCCCATAACGGATGATATATCGAGCGGAATTAGAGCACACACGTGTGTACTACTCAAGGACACGCTACTTTCGACAGCAAGTGCTCAAACTATTCTCTTTTCACGATTTAGACAATTTAATCATGACATTCATCTCTTATTTTGAAAAGTAGAGAAGACCTCGTTACACAATTCGCATTCTGAATTTCGAATTACTAATCTTTAATTTGGAATATTAATAGACTTTCAAATTTTTCTCATGTTTTTAATTTTTTAGATGCAAAAAGCATTAAATTTTATATATACTTAAGTTGCACTATTATAAAATTTGAGAATCGTTTAATATTTCATTTGTACGTAATTGTCAGATTCTTTAATCGTTGGGTTCTTAAATACATTTTTAAATCTTGTATTAAGAATGAAGGATTTTTTGGGATTAAAAGATTAGATGTACGATATCTATATATATAAGTATATAAAATAACAACTTCAACATAATTTTTTTATTCATTCGTATAATTTGTTCGCTCATCAAACAGAAAAAAGACATCCTAAAGAGATAGAAAGAATTGAGTAGAGTATTGACTATATATATAAGGTTAAATAAAAAAATTATGCTATTATTATGTACACTCTGGTTTGGTTTATACGTAATAATAAAATAACTCTCTCGATATTCTTCAACAAATGTAGGAAGAAAAACTACATGTCATGATAATATCTAAATCCTCTAATCTTTATCTGGACTTACAGTAACAATCGCATTCGTGTGGTTTTTCCTAATACTTACTCCTTTGTTCGATAATATATCAGAGCTATTAATAATAATATTTGTTCATCTTTGTTAATCTCTCTTTCTCTCTGGTTAATAGATTTTTCTGTTTTTCAATATCTAAATACATGTCTAGACATTTCTAAATTCTTGAATTCTACAATCCTTATAAATCCTAGATTCCTCAGGATCCTCAAATATTTAAGTCTTTGGATTCATGAATTTCAGAACACATTTTTTTAAAGAATCTTTTAAAGAATCTTTTAAAGATCTTTTTAGATTTTCAGAACTATAAATTCTATAATACCCTTAAACTTTTCGATTTTTGGTTTGAAAGTTTTTATAAATCTTGAACTTTCTTTCTCTCTTAAATTTTCTACTATAATACATAAAATATTTTGTGAAGCATATGCCAAATTTTGACACAAGTTTTGCGAAACACTCTGTATGTGTATGTGTGTGTATATGTTTGTACATATATCTATTATGATATAAACTTCAAACTCAAAACTCAAATTAAATATTGTAATCAGCAGCAGATTTAGCCATATAAAGTTTTTTAATTTCAGAACTCAGGAATATCAAGAGATTTCGATACATAGATAGTAACATATGTTCTTGGAACTATGATATAGTTCTATTCTTTTTTTCACAATTCCGTTAAATGACAATTATATTAATTGACATAAAAAGTATATGTATTATATTTTCTATGTGCCATATACTGAAACAATTTTTAACTATAAACCAAAAAATGTAAATTTGCCACTGATTGTCGCCCACACATACACATATAATTCGCATGCGGAAAAACACAATTTTGACACAAGTTTTGCGAAACACTCTGTATGTGTATGTGTGTGTATATGTTTGTACATATATCTATTATGATATAAACTTCAAACTCAAAACTCAAATTAAATATTGTAATCAGCAGCAGATTTAGCCATATAAAGTTTTTTAATTTCAGAACTCAGGAATATCAAGAGATTTCGATACATAGATAGTAACATATGTTCTTGGAACTATGATATAGTTCTATTCTTTTTTTCACAATTCCGTTAAATGACAATTATATTAATTGACATAAAAAGTATATGTATTATATTTTCTATGTGCCATATACTGAAACAATTTTTAACTATAAACCAAAAAATGTAAATTTGCCACTGATTGTCGCCCACACATACACATATAATTCGCATGTGGAAAAACACACAGATAGGATAAACCGATAACAATTAGCATTTTCATTTTTTTTCACAATTGTGCGAGTAGGAGAAAAATTTATCAAGTATAAGTTTCATGGAAAAAATGGAGCAGCCATAATATAATTGACCTCTTTATATGCAATTTTTGTTTGACAAATTTACTTCCTATACACATAGTTTTGAAGATGTTTAAAATGCTAATTGATGTTGATTCATCTTGTATATAAATTAAATATTTAGTAATCTCAACTCTTTTCAACAGCACTCTGTTGTCGTTATAAATAAAATGCAGTTTCTTTTCACTGCTCTAAAAATTCATTAACAAGACCCCATAATTGTAAATCCAGATAAAGATCAATAACATATCACAGTTTCAGATTTATATTTGTTACGTATTAAGAGTGATGACACACACTAGTAATATCTTTATCACCTATAGATTATGCACAATAACTGTTTTTACACCATCCAAACAGTAAGCATCAGTCACGTTTAGCATTAAATTGTGCCACAGAACGGAATGCAAAAGCTCGACAAAGAAATCCACAAGTAATCTCAGATAGATTGTTTTTGTTGTTTCTCAAGCAAATTCTTGTCTATTGCTTTTGTTCATAAATAAACATATAGTTACAACTATGTCACAGGAAGTTTTGAGACATTGACCATGGTTATTTCTCATCTGGTCTGATCGAGTAATAACGAAGCTGCCATTTCCACATCATATTTAGTCTGCTTCAAAACACTTTCGCACTGTTGTTTATTAGCCAAGCCCAACCTACAATAAATTAAATATTATTTAGTAATCTCTAATATAAAAAAATGGATTGCATCATATATAGTTTTCTCCTCTTTTTGATATATTATTGCAAGTGCCTTAAAGAATCTATGAATTTTTCATGGCGGCAAATCTGTGTCGAACCTATTGTCAATAATATCTATGTAACTGTAATATGTATAATGTCGAGTCATAATGTGTATTTTACAGCAAAGTAATCTCGCATCACTAAATCGATTCGTAAGGATAAGGAAGTATCACAGTACTTACCTCACGAGACTTTCGACTTTCGCCTGCCTATCTTTCGCGATCTGTTTAGCGGCTTGATTCGTGTCCCAGCCGGTCGCCTGCAGCGCGGCCAGTACCTCCTGCTGCGACGCATCCACGGCCTCTTTCTGCACCTTCATGATCCTGCTCGCACGAAACTCGTCGCTCAGCGACATCACCAATTGCTGGGAAGCCGCGGTGAGCGGAGGACTAGTACCGGTCTGGTGTTGATTGACTTGCAATAGATTCACTTTGACGGCTCCTAGATCGTTCGTCGTCGTTGATCCAGATATATTTCTTGCTGATGAAGGGGTTTCAGTTTGCAGCAGATTAGACGGTCCACTCAAATTGCACTTGGTTGTAGAATAATGGTTTTGCGTATAACCATTTTGATCGGATTTAAGCGGGCTCCAGGTCGGAGGAGGAGGTGGATTATAAACTGGTGGCTGTTTCAGATAAGGACTAAAGTCGCAAGAGTGTCCCTGAACAGGCTGATTTCTGCCAATCATAGTCTTTTGTTGTTGTTGATTGCTAGTCATTTCCTGAGCGTAATTTTGGCCCGACTCCCCGCTCAGGTTATTAGAATAGTAATTTCGCAGTATATTCTGCTGAACAGTCTTATTGTATAGAGTATTAAATTCGTTCTGAGATAACTGCTCTAGATTAGGTACCTGTAAAATGTTTAGAATCGTTTAGCCTAAGAGACTTGTTAAACATTTGAGTTTTAAATTCATCAGATTTTAATAAATATCGTTGTACGTCATTATTTTTTTACATATTGTTTAATTCCAATTTTGCAATTATCTTATATAATGTTAAAAAAAAAAGTGTTTTCTTTCAAGATCTATTATATAATCATGAAAGTTACATACCGTTTGTTTCAATTCAGCGTATACTTGTTCGGATAAAAGAGTAGCAGGCTTCAATTGTTGCAACTGCTGCAAATCATTCTGTATATGAGCGATCTTATGGACATTACTCGCACTGGACGACATTGGCACATTCTGAAGAGAGATTTGATGCGAAGCGAAGCCACTCTGATTCTGCAAGTAATTCTGACTCATCGTCGAACAAGCCTGTGCTTGATTGGTGGAAGCGGCCTTGGAGATATTGCAAGATCCGTACAGAGAGGATTCGCTCGCACTATTACCAGAAACATGATTGACAGTTTGAAGCAAGCTAAGAGCAACGCTCGATGCATTATAATTCTGGCTACCGGTTGACGAAGAAGCCTGCGTTTGATTCAAGCTCGCTTTAGAAGCAGTCGCGACATCGTACTGAGGATCGTTTGTAACACTATTGGTGGCAACCTGCAGCAAATTGAAAACACCCTGGCCAAGACTCGATGAATTTTGAAGATAACTTTCAGTGTTTGCTGAACAAGCTTGAGTTTGATTAAACGTGGCCTTGGCAACATTGCAGGGACCATGTTGAGCCTCGTTCGTGCTACCACCGCCAGCAATGTTGTTGGCAGTTCCGTGAAGCAGATTGATATTACCCTGATTGATATGCGTCATATTTGGAGATTGACCATGATTTGACGAAGAAGCTTGCGACTGGGTAAAGATGGCCTTGGCAACATTGCAGGGACCATGTTGACTGTGATCGTTCGCACTGCTAGTGGCAATGTTGCCGACGGCTTCTTGAAGCAGATTAGCGCTTCCCTGAGCTACTGGAACGGGCGTTAACGCCTGACCTCCAGCAGCCAAATCGGTCAGACAGATGTTTTGCTGCTGCTGTGACAAAGTCTGCGTTTGCTGCCAGATTTGACCCACTATGGTGTCAGTGGTCGACTCTGACATGCGTTGCTCATCCTTGGGACGCGGTCTTTGAATGTTCGTACTTTTTGACTGCCAAGAGTTTTGTACTTTGCTAATAGATGGTGTCGACGAGAAAGATGCTCGACGATCCGTCGTCATCACAGGCGATTTTGATTTCTTGTGCGGCGGAGATTTCAATACTGGAATGACCGACAAAGATCTGGCGGCATCTTCTACCGTCGTTGAGTGCTGCTGAGTCGACGCAGAACCCTGTCGCAACTTGTCCTGCGATGAGCAATGCAAATAATTCGTGTTTCCCGGTTCCTGGTTTTCTCCACCGTTGGCAGAATTCGTGTTCTTTGTCGCCTCCTTCTCGCCTAAGTGCTTCTCCAGCTCGGCCAAGAAGCCAGGATCCAGCTTTCTCGTGACATTGGCACTGGAGTTGGAATTTAGCGATAATTCGTTCATACTCCGTGCGAGCTCGCAATTGGATTTTGGCTTAGACGGACTCGTATTTGGTCCGATGGAAGGAGGAGGCGGCGGAATTGGGACGGCTGCACATGACGAGGCGGACTCACCGCCGGAGACGTTAGCATACGTCTGCGCGACAGAAGAATTCCGTATATCCTCCGGCCAGGTAGACCAGTTCGATCCGCGAGGGCTAATTTTATCTATCTCGCTATAGTGACTCGCGTTGTTACCTTCTGCACTCGTATTCACGTTCAAATTTACTGTATCCTGCCGACACTCCTTATTCAGATTCACCGAGTACTGGCGAGCTTCCTGAGAAAATAATAAACAGAACAAAGTGATATAGAAGTGATATAGATAATTAAAAGAGTTGAATGACAATTATCATTATAACTAATTTGGCGAATTACTTAGAAAAATTATTTTTTTAAAGATGAAATATATATAGAACTTCCAATATGCCAACGTACCTCTACATCAGTAGAATCAGCAACGAAACAATTCGCGGTGCTTTGAACGTGATCTCCCGTCTCTTGATTGTCCACATTTCCGTACGTCTGCGTCTTCATATAGCGACTTGCGACTTCAACGGGCACATGACTATAATATCGCGAATGTGGCGGCTTCATGAACACTGCGGACGTATCGAAGGGATCAGAATACGCGGGATCCACATTACCGGGAAAGTTTGCGTACGTCCTGCCCTCCTCGTCCTGCCAGGGGAACTTCTCACCGTCGATTGGCTCATCTAGAATGTTGATCACTCGCCTGCATGCGACCTCCTCCTGCGCGCTCGTGCTCGCCAACTCCTCGGCGGACAAGTCAATCAAGTTACCCTCTTGGCTGACGCTCGAAGTAGACGATGACTGCGACATCTTGACCGGACTCGATCGAATATCGTTGCGCAGCTTCGTATAATTGAATTGCTTTCTAGTACGTGGTGTACCGCAAGAAAATCTTTTCTTTGTCTGGTTTTCTGCCGCGGTCGCCACTAATACGTCCGGAGGATCCATCGGATTCCTCAAGTAGACATCGTCGATGTAAACAGGGCTACCCCAGCTCTTGCCGAAAGGCGCGCCATGTCCCGTATGGATGAACGAGTTTTCCAACGGCTTGCTGATGTCCCCCGGCTGTTTCCGACGCATCGGATCGACCAGGCAACGCGGAAAGTGCCCCACCTGAAACGTTCGCTGGTTCTGGCCTTTCCACCAGTAGTTCTCCGATCGCCCATCGATAATTGCGATCTGGTCTCCCGGCTCAATAGACATCTTGCCAGGTTCGTCGAAGGCGGTCAGAGCCTTCATTACGGATGGCACCATACCGGTCAACGATTCCTTCAATGAGGCGAACGTTGGCCTCTCCGAAGGTTCTCTCGCCCAGCAACGGAGCATCAACTCGTACATATATGGAGGCGTCGCTTCCGGCTCGTGAAGCCGCTCGCCCTCGCGATCGATCTTCCGCAGTATCTCGGAACCGTTTAGGCCCAGCCAGGGTTCCTCACCAAATGTCAGCATCTCCCACAGCGTCACACCGAACATCCAGACATCCGACGCGTGGCTGAATTGTCGAGACTTGAGAGACTCGGGAGCGCACCATGGAAAAGGCACTTTCTTATGTTCGGTCATGACGTAGCAATCCTCCTCTTGAGGAAGCGCTCTCATCAGTCCAAAATCACCGATCTTGACTTTGTCGACCGTGCTCAACAGGACGTTTCTGCATGCCAGGTCGCGATGTAGAAAACGCTTTGCCTCCAAATACGCCATACCTGTGGCGACTTGCAGCGCATAATTGCAAAGAGTGAGAATTGAGATTCTGCCACACTGCTGCCGCAAGTGGTCGAGCAAAGCGCCTAAAGGCGCAAGCTCGGTCACCATCATCATCGGCTGCGACAGCACCACACCGTACAATCTAATGAGATTATGATGATCTAAGGTATGCATCGCCTGAACTTCAGACACGAAGTCCTCTATGACACTTGGCTGCGTAAGAGCATCCGCCTTGAGGACTTTTACGGCGACAGGCAGAGTTCGTCCAGAGGGGGAAGTCCATTCCCCTCTTCTAACTACACCGAAGCTTCCATCGCCCAGTTTAACGGACAATACTACATCCTTGTCCTGTATGAGACACGTCAGTGCCGAGTTAGTCTCGATAGGTTGTGAGGCTCGCTTGCTGCTCTTACTGCTACTGCCGGGTTTAATTTTAGTGATCAGAGTTTTTTTCCATTGAGTGCTTCGTCTCTTCTTCACCGCGTCCAGCAGGCGCCTGACGCCGGGTTTACCGAGACCGATCTTCTCCAGATCTTCCGGTTGAACATAATCAAAGTGATGCAATCGAGTGATCTGTAGATCATCTCGTATTCGCGTGAAGAACTGAGAGAGCTGCACATCGTGCAATAACTCCTGAAGCCACTCTGTACCTTCTTCGTCTGCCATGATAATTATAGTGCTTCCTTGCTCACTGAGATATCCAACACTCTACAAATGTGTATATACAAATGTCTTTAACATACATATATGTAGAGATCTAAGAGCATCCAAAAAAATTTCTCACTTTTTTGTAACATTAATTCCCTCTTATAATTTGGGAAAGAAACAAATATTTATCACACAGGTACATTAATTTTAACAGAACATCTACTTTAGATTAAAGATATGATTTTGAGAAATGACAAAATGTCAAGGAGATATAATAAGTTTTTTCAAATTAAAACTTTCTGTATGGTTCTTTAAAGTATGTTGTACGCTTGCAAATACTTTAATATTTTATACATCTAGAACTAATATAAACTATGAACATAGCTTGAGATACCAGATAAAGAAAATATTTTATACTTAATATTAACAAACAATTCATTTCGCTATCTATTTCCAGGAATAGCAATGATTAATCACATTGGATATCGCATTCAATTGATAAGTTTCTATATCATGGATTCTTATAACTTTATAAGCAAAATTGAAGGATGTATAATAATATTATATATTTGAGTATTTTGGAAATTTAGATTTTTGATCTTATTAATTGACTAGCGATTTATATCCCAAGATTTAATTTTTGGGATTGTCGTTCTTCAATTCATACTTTAACATTGAAATTTTGATTTTTTTAAATATTTCTCATTTTTTAGATTTAAGAACTTTAGTATCTTAGATATTGTGTTGGAGATTTTAATTCTACAAAATCCTAATCAAACGAACAAACCGTCTACAGTCTGTCAGATTGATAACAGATTTGAGCAAAAGTTACAGTAGAGCTTGCAGATACGATAATATATTCATGATAGAAATCAAGCAGAAATTATGTTCAATTTGTGCCATCACTTTGCTGCCAATCTGTTTGATAAATTCTTCAATTCTTATCATCAATCAGACTGTGATTTGCTTCTGTTGTCACATTCTGTTGGCAAGCTTTATTGTATTTCTGTTAGTATCTTGCTAACAATCTTTTATAAAATAAATTCCTTATCGGATCCGTTATCAGAATCTTTTTTCTGCCGATAAACTTCGTAGTAGAAACTTTACAAGAAACTTGTTCTCGACGCAACTTGGCCGTCTAAAAAATTCTATCCTCTTTGATTCTTGCTTTATACAAAAGCTGCAATAATCAACAAGACAGGTTAATCTCCCAATCCATGACAGTTTCTCTTTGTACCTCCTGTAGCAATAAAGCTTGCGATAAAACAGCCGAGATAGTACTAACCTGCGGATCTCGCTTTTATCATCTTTATCTATCTTTGTCCGGGCAACGTCGAGGATCACCCGGGGAAAAACGAGAGAAACCGTCGACGCTTGCGACAAAGCTTCTTATTCGGGACGGATTTCCCGAAACGTCGCTCGCTTCAAGGCGCTCGAGAGCGGCCTTCGCTCTGTCGGAATCCCCGACGACGCGCACTTTCACCCGACAGTTTTCCAGCGTGATGCATTCTCCAACGATCGCGTCCTAACCTAAAAACCAGCGGCCCCCTTGAAAATTAATCCACGTACGCGCACTCGCCGATTGTCGTGAACGAAACTGTGCGATCTAACGAAACGTCGTTGCAGTTTGCAGTTTCGCTTCCGCGGCTTCCGACGATCTTGCACACAAACGAGACGAGAGATTAGAGCGCAGGGGAGGGGGAAGATGAAAAAAGAAAACAAAAAAAGCGATCAAAATTGAATAAGTTTCACTGTGTGTATGCGTGTACAGCAAGTCGACGCGCGAGGCGGACTGCGCATGCGTGAGACTGGTCGTGACATGCGCGGTGAATGCGATGTCAAGGGATCTGTTCTTTGTAGCTGAACTGGCTGAACTAATTCAAAGCTTATCTTGTCTTGATCGTTGTAAGTGCTGAAAGCGTTTGATCGATCAATTAGGATAAAAAATCTTTGCCCCAATTGATCTATCAAACGTTTTAGTATTGAAAGACGGGCTCCCTGTTTGCGCATGCGCGTCGAACGTAATATCTATTTCTGATTGGCCAATAAAACTCGATTTTGTCCGAGTAGATTTTAGATGCTTTCCGATTCACGCATGATGCAAATAATACATCATTTACTCTTGTTTAACATTTAGTAAACAACAAGGATAAATAATGCATCATGCACATCATGCGTGAAACGGAAAATGCCTTTTGAAACGCAACCCGCATTAGACATTTTCGGATCGGACGCATCGCATCTAGATGTTCACAGTTCGTGACTGTTGCGCGGACGAAAGCGGCGCGGTGGAAGATTGGCGCATGCGCGGTAAACGATCCGGGCGCACCGGGCCGAGCGCGCGTCTGCTAACGCGCGCGCGACCGCGCATGCGTCGGCGGCATTTCTCCCTTCTCCTTCGCCACGGGAACTCGGTCGCCGTCGCCGTATGTCGTTATTCGCGCGTGGAGTTGCAGACATTCCTCTTCTCTCTCTCTCTCTCTCTCTCTCGTGAAAAATCATCGTGTGCGTAAGTGCGTGCGTGGCGTGCGTTTCGATGATAACAGGGAAAGTCTGACATGCGTTGGATCATCGCGTGCGATCGCGTACGCTGCATGGATATATAATACGTAGACGAAAAGAGGAGGACGACGACGACGACGACGACGACGCTCATCGTCAGCGGGCGGGCAAACGGCCGGATCCAGGGTCGACGTGTACACTGACCGGGGGGTACACGATGCACGCGCGGCGCATCGTCGTCGAGTGAGTACGACAGTGAGTAGAGTGTTCACGATCAACATCGGAGAGCGTGCTTCCTTTTGCCGAGTGACCGGAAGAGAGTGCGCGCATTCCTCAAAGTGACGTACGTACGTACGAAGCGGCGAGGGAGAAAAAAAAAAAAAAAAAAAAAAGCGACGAACGCCGGTAACGCGCTCGCGCGCTTCTCGCTCCGCGTCCCTATGAATAATATTCGGTCTATAGTTTTGTCTGTGTGTGTGCGTGTGTATCGCGAGAAAGGGATAGGACGTCCCTTCGTAAAGGAAAACATCAGCGGTAGAAAATTGGGCAGAATCTTCTCGTCTCGTCAACCCGCATGTCGGTTGAACCACGCGAATTCGGATCAACCCCGAAGATCATCCTTATAGGTACGTAATGTAGTTGCGAAGGGTACGTATGTATATGTATATATGGGCGTAACGAGGGGAGGGGGAGATGGAAGGGCACGGGAAGAAGATTCAAGATACTCTGTCGATCGGAAAAAAAATCAACGACCCTGAAGTTTTCTCGCGATCTATCTTTGCGCGCAGACTCTTATTTTATCCTTTTTCTT